TAAATCATTGACTAAACTGAATTACAGCAGTCATCATGACTTAGTGAACATTGTGTCATCTAAATGAAAGCGCGCAGCAGTGTGGCTCATCGTGCTACACATTAGGGATACGCTCGCCACCGCACCTCTGATTACCCTACAGGGGTTCGAATCCACGTGCAGGGTGGTTATGTGCGAGGATTGCTGGACTCCTCGCCACCGTAGGGTGGTTCACGTACCGTTGGTAGGTTACGGCTTCCTCCACCATCAAGTCCATGCTTCCCAAAACAAGTAACTGACTAATCCCATACTCGACATGGAATGGTAACTGGACGAGGCGTGGTTCACCATAAGGTTAAGCCGTCTGCTCTCAATTTCCTCTCCCGCCGAGATAAATATTTGAATCCTCTATCCTAATGACTCAGATTTGTACTCAACTAATTATCAACTTAGATCCGTGATTGACTCAAGTTGAGGGACTTCTATTCATCATTGCTTTCAAATATGCCTGTGCTCAGTAGCAATAAGAACGCTGTGTAACCAGCCAATGATATGTAATCAATGTAATTGATATTCAAAAAGACCAAAATCTTCCGTTCCGGCATTCAGGCATTGCCTATGCAATTTATTGCACCTGGTTGAGGTGGTGGGCATGTGACTCATATGATCTTCACCATCAATGAGTTTAAATTATTATCTATAGATAATATTTAAAAATGACATTTTTGAATTCGTAATAATTATGAATATATGTTATTATTTTAAATTAGGTCAAGTTCAATAATCAGCGCATCAGCACTCAGGCCTGCAGTACACAAATGTCCTTCATAGGTTTACAAACTATTTTCCTTTTCGAATAGATTTATCGTGTAATAAACTTTCACATTTCTAGTGATAATTTTGTTGAAATGATAAAGGACATAATATCCAGTACGATACATATGATCCTAGAAAATAAAGTTGTTATCATTTCGAGACCCAAATTTGTTTGTATTCTAATAGAACTTATTCTTAGAACTTTCATATTTAGTATCGCAACCCCTACTGCCCAGCGTTCTGCATCTGAGAAGGGTTCTCTCTGGGTTTGTAGTCAGGCAGCGTATGAACTCATTCATCAGTAGAGCTTACATTTTTCAGACTTTTGAACCAGATTTTCAAATCGTATACTATCTTTAGATATTAGGATAGGATAGGATTTACATATTTATCCAGGGGGAGAGGAAAGCCGATAAGACGGCTTATCCATATGGCGAACCACGGCCTCTCGTCCGGTTACCATTCCAAGTCGGGTATGGAATAGTTTTACTGTATTGTTTGTTTTTCGGAAGCATGTACTTGGTGGTGGAGGAAGCCATAACCGACCAGCGGTTACGTGAACCACCAAACGACGGCGAGGAGTCCAGCAATCTCTCGCACATAACCATCCCTGCATGGTATTCGAACCTGTGAACCCCTGCAGAGTAATTAGAGATGCGGTGGCGAGCGTATTCCTACCGCTTAGCCCGTTGAGCCACACCGCCGCGCCAGCGAAAAGCAATGCATTCTCAGGAGACTGAAAAGTTCATGGAAATATTGCTCTCGGTTACGAATGTCATGTCTAACCCATTTTAAAGCGGCTTGCCATTTAACAGTCTCAGAAGAATATTTCGTGTTTGCTGATTTGAAAAGTGTAATTATATCATTTTTTTGAATATCACAGAATTCCCCTTTCTCATTGAGTTGTTCAAAGTTGATTTCCATGAATCTATCCAACACATAGCTAACTGCGTTTAGATTAGGTACTTTGATGAGTTTCAGCCATATTCTTCAGCATGAAGGCAGTTGTCAATTCTCAAGATTCGTCTCAAGATTCTTGACATTAGAGAATAATACAGTGATGCCTGAATTCTTTGCAATGTTATTACTTTTCACCAGTGGTTCTTCTAACACTGTCTCCAGAAGAAACTTGAAAGGATAAGTCTGGATATTGATGACTGTTACAAGATTGCCGAAACATCTCTCTGCATGTTCATCTTTTGCTCTTGCCCATGTTATCATAGCTTGCCATGATGTTTGATAACTTACATTTGAAAACTTCTATGTAACGCAGGAGATCTGGCTTGATAATAAACGGGAACATCTCGGAGGAAATTACTGATTTGAAATTTAGTGATGCAGCACATGTTTCTGCCTTGTTCTTTTACATCATGACAATGTATGCTTGAGCCAAGTTGATGACAAAAAGACATTGGTTTCGAGACAGATTGGTTTCCAAGTAATGGAAGCAAAAGTTTGTCAAACTAACCATTTTGTAACAGGTTGGATGCTTGCAGAATTTGTTGAACGTATTCATTTTCAAATTTGCTCCTCCTTTATACATGAACTCTATACATGGGAAATCCCATTTTGATCAACATCTTTCATATTAATAAAACCATCACGAGATTCCTTCATTTTGCTTGAAAACATTGCTTTAAAGTATCCTGATGAGGCTGCCAAGACACAGCGTATGAGCATGGAAGGATTTGTCACCAACTTTGACATCGAAATCGCAGAGACTGTTTTGTTCTCTCAAGCTATCGAGTGATGTCATAAGCAAACTGGCTTGCGTTGAATTTGTTTGTTTTATGTAATCTTCATTCATAAATCAGTCACCTCAACCTTCTGACCTTTGCTCAGATCTAGTAACTAAATACTCAAATATAACAATTCTAATGCCTGTTTAAATATAAACAATTTTATTATATCTTTCTACAGTTCTATTAGTCTTATACCAACTATTCTGATACCGGTATTCAATAAAAATATGCAAGATAAATTAAAAGGAAAGATAGACATAGACTACCGGAACTAATTACTAAATAGATAGATATAGTTTATTTGAATACTCCATAATACTGTAATATACAGAAATTTTGAATGGATAATTCTGAAGGGCGAGCAAAACCTTTAAAAAGGTTAAAAACATGAGAAATATTTTTTTTATCGTCTATTGCTGATTATGGAGTCGAAATAAACTTATACTTATACCTATACTTATGGGGGGGGGGGGGGGGGGGGAATCAGGTACCGTAAAGCAGTGATTTTTAACCAGTGTTCCGCGGAACACTGGTGTTTCAGGTGTTCCGCGGAAAATTGCTCTTTTGAAGGAATATTACGTTATAACTGAAATTCAACCAGCCGATGAACTTTTACAAATTACACAAGGCTGCGGGTTAATGTATGTAGGTACTAGATTGGGACCTCAAGAAAATTTCCAATTCTTGCTAAAAAGCGCTTCCAATCTTGCTACCGTTTTTATCTACCTATCCTTGCGAAATGAGCTTTTTGAACATGATCGACCTAGGGCTCGACAAAATAATCGAATAGCGAATGGAAAATTAAAATATTCGAATGGCATTTTACTCTTCGTAGGCTATATCCGATAGCACGCGACCTTGTACCGGTGTCTGCTTGGGCACGAAACTCGCGCGCCGGTAAATTTTCTGATAATTGTTTTTATGAGTGTCCGCACACCGAATTTACCGTCATGGTTTTGCGTTTGTTTGTATATTAAACCACTTATCACCTATTCCGCAATGTCCAATCTAGCAATCAGTGTAGTTTTTCATGGCTTCATGAGTATGACTATCGTCGCCAATTTATTACATTCCACTCCCCACATTATCTTTGAATGAGATTGTATTGGTCATTATCAACATAAGTGTTTAGAATTTAGAAGTACAACATCCTGAAAGTTTATACTATTGTGTATTTTCTTTGTTAGGTTTGGCCCAGGCCTCATTTAACTAGGCTTGTGTTTTTGTGTGTGTGCTGGTGGGCAGGCACATGAGATACTTCTAATGTTTTAAACTTTTTTATAGGTTTTGCTTGCTCTCCAGAATCCTCCATTTTTAATTTATGTTTGTTATGGAGTTACAGTTTGGGTGACTAACGCGGATCAAATCCAATTTCTCTGAATAGTGGCAGTAACCATTCTTTGGTTAAACGTAGCTTTTCTAAATCATTGAAACCAAAAGATATAGCCATGGAAATATTCATGGTTTGGATTTGCAAGAGGGCCGATCCATGAAGAACCTTCTGAAGACATTAAAATTTAAAAATTAGACCACCAAGACCAGATATTTGATATCTGAGATACGGCTTTGAGAAACCTTGTCATGGTGTCACACTGATTTTGCCAATTATTTTCGGACAGTATGATTATCCAGGAAGCATTCAGAGTAAAATACCGGTTTGTCAAAAATCAGTTGATGTTCTTGTCGGTAGGGATTATGCAATTTTAATTCAAACAATACATTCTTTACGTTCACAAACTACTCCAGACATTTATTTTTAAGCCGTTATCTATACGGAGGCGTTATTCTGGCTCCTGAACGATCTTTTAATCATGTGTGCTAATGTTAAAAGTGTTGTCGTTGTTGTTCAGCATTAGAAAATGAAGAGTTGCGTAAGATTTTCCTAGGTGAAGTTATTGGATTACTTTACATGTATGAAAGAGGTACTTGAGATTTGGTAATTCAGGGGTGACGGTAGCAGTAACAATATCTTGAAGAATCTCTCTATAGATCCCCCCCTCCCCTTAAAGTTTTTCCGCTGGTTTATATGTGTCATGGTTGGATCTGTAGTTGATGCACAAAGACCAGGAAGATCAAGGAGCGGGCGATCTGAGGAAAACATTCGAAGCTGAATTAATTTCAAATTTTCTGTTATAGAGGAGCTAAGTTGGCCTTACTGATTTACATGCCTTTTCTTGCCAATCAGCAATTTTGCTTCTCTTTTTTGGGTTAATCTCCTTGTCATACTGTGGGTTGTTAAAAAATGCAAACAACATCTAAATTTTACTAAGTAGCCTATACATACTATGTTTTCTAAAGAAATGAACGCCCTATGATGAGTACCTGAAAAGCAAATCAAAATAAAAGCGTATATATACTTACTTTTGAGACACCCTGTATATCTAGTCCTGACTTGTCGTGTTATACAATCAAGTTTTAGCCGACAAATTTCGCGAAAATCATCTATTCGGAGCTGTTTTATTGGACAAAGATACTTTTATAGAAAATGTCAGCTAGCCCAACCTTAATCAGATGATGTTGGTAAATGCTAGTATAACAAGGCGCAAGAAATATCCATGTTAGCTAACATTACAATTCCAAGATATCTAAAATTTCAAAATATATAATAAAGTAGACCTTCCTAATTAACTGTATGTGTTTTCGGACGGTGACGAATTAGCATATGGCACTTTTATGTTCTCACTGTGACCAACAGCGGATGGAGTGAAGATAACACTCGTTGCAGCACAAAGATTTGTGACACTCAAACAAAAATACGTAGCCTACTCCAAGAAAAGGGCTAATGGAAGTAATAGGCATGAGCAGATTGGTGCATGAAATAAGCATAGCACTGTCATATAATATTGCATACAGATATTTCTGGATAGACAGCAAAGTTGTTATCATTTGGTAAACTTCTCCATCTGGAATATTCAAAACATTCGTTGTTTGAAGAAAGAAAGATTTTCAAGATACATATAGAAATGTAACAAAAGTAGTCAAATTCATTTCTGCAAACTGTTTCAAAAACCTATTTCACATGAGAAACTTACATTTTGGCATGGTGGGTCTTTTTAAAGCAACCAGCGGTGTATTGGCCGAATATTGTTGATTTAGAATTAGATTAATTACGTCGAAAAATGCCACCATCAAAGTCAAAAACACATCGCGCAAAAGGACAACTAAATGCACAACCCGTTAAAGCAGATTCGCCTTATCAGATAATGATTTACCCCAGGTTGGTCCAAATCCTGGCACGCGGGCCGCCAGCGTCCCTCGGTCACATTCCAGGCCGCCCTCAAAACAATTTTGTCCTGTGCAGACAGAACCAAGTCGATGAGATGAGTCGCGCTTTTTATTTAATTTTTGTATCTTAAGCTTGCGTCAAGTAACTCCTCATTTGGAGGGACGTTTTGTGCCTTTATTTTAGTCAATCACTACTCTAGTTTCAAGCATTGGCGACGTGACAGAAGAGACGAACCGCAGAACTGACTTAGCGCCGCGCGATCCAGTTTTTAGCTGTGTCCGTTGTCCCAGCGTAGACGGACTTGGTTGTTCTTCGGCGATAGCACCAGACCTGCTCGCGTTACAACTAATAAAATTAGTCAAATATAAGCACTCATCATACAATGAGTGTAAAAAAGTGACCTAGGAAAACTGGTACGAAACGCATTTCATTTCCCGCAACAACGTTAAACCACAGAGTCTTGTGTGTTTTCATGTAATATCTATCACGGAAGAACATGATTTTGAGCGACATTACAAAATTAAACATAAGAAAAGATACCGAAAATACCACGGTATTTCTCGGGAATCAATTTTAAAATCAATGGAGGCTTTATATATATTTCCCTAAAAAACTAATAAGAACGGTAAGCTCTCAGCTTACCTCAGTAAGCTTTCTCCGACTGCGGTAGGCGAAACATCGTCAATAGTTTTCGTGGCCCGTCAATCTCGCAACCTTGGAACACACTGGGGTCTATCGCATATAACGGATGCTCCAACTAGTAGGAACAAAAAGTAAAATGCCTCGGTAAGACATGTGTAGAAATAGATTCCAGAAAAACGTGGATTCGACACGCTTCCGAATTCCGAAGGGTCGATTTCAATATTGTACGCAGAAGGTAACACTATTCATTTTGAGTTGTTGTGGAAAAAGTTTTGCTTCTATATATCATCCGATACCAAAAACACCATATGTGGTCAATATATATAGGCGTGTGTGTACCCAAAAAGTCGCAACATCCCATTTGATTACTATATTTTGATTGATTACGCATGAATACAAAATTGCAACTCAAACTCCATGATGTAATGTACACGCGCTTTATTGATTTCCAATAATAAAATCTAACCTTTCTTGAGCGGAAGACATGTTGAGTTTTCCAAAATTACGATTTTATGGTATTTTAGGCTATTTCAAGTAATAAATCACACATAAATGCAAAATTTGATCGCAATAACTCAAATTGCTCTCGCCCCTCTTGAGCGGAATTACTTGCTGATGGGCTTTAAAAGTTGTGAAATTTCGTGGTATTTTTTTTACACTGATGCAAACTGCAATGTGGTATATTCAGTGATGGATTGCACATAAATGCAATACTTTGATAGAAGCGATTGGACCACTTTTTCCATTGATTGTCGAATTATTATTGGTGACTTATTGTTAACCTAATACAGTCTATTCATTAGAGTGTATGCTGGTCTATTTTTTAACGTAACTACCGAGAGTGATTGCATATTAGTTTATAGCATGACTTCCGTTATTCCTAAAGTATTTCTGATTATCTGTTGGTATCTGACATATAGAAATATATTGAATTTTATATTCAATAGATTAAAACATACGGCGTTTAAAAATTTATCGGAAGAGTATGTCATTAATTTTTACGAGGAATCTTATCGTCATTTTCACTGGTTTAAAGTACTGAATCTTTGAAATGAAATTTAGCACCCGTGCTATATATGTGTATCGTGCAGAAGTGGGGACTTCATGTGCAGTTCCCACTGAAAGCGCCAGTGTCGAATAAAAGGCTCAGAATGAAATACACACTCTTTTACTGTTCACCTTCAATTATTAATTCTTACATGCATGTAACAACGTCAGCCAACTAATCCTAATGAAATGTGAGGAAAGTTTGCCAATGAGATTTGCAACTTTTTGATACTTCAAAACAATACAATTTATTTCGGCATTCAGAAAACACAACACTTGTTAAAACCATCAAAACGTAACAAAAATGCCCAGAAAACAAGCAAAACTTATGAATAGAGTTTATAACGCGCAATACATGCGCTCGTTTGCCAAAATTGACACAAATGATACATTTATAAATAATAATAAAAAGACTCGATTAGTTGAATCCTTTGCGTTTCATGTGCAAAAAAGTGAGTCACTAGTTCACAATAATGACAATAAAGTTGATAGTGTGTCGGAAACAAACGCGTTTTAGAAAAATTAATGCATTTGGACAATAATTAACGTGATTAAAGCGAATGCAAAATAAACACAAAATAAACTTGATAGCGATCCGCATGTTCGATATTTTACTTATTGTACATGCGCTTAATTAATTTCCAGTAATAAAATCTCGCCTTTCTTGAGCGGAACTCATGCTGGAGGGATTTTCAAAATTACGATGTTTATGGTATTTTTTAGGCTATTTCAAGTAATAGGATACACATGAATGCAAAATTTATTCGCAAAACACGAATTGTACGTTATTAAATTTTGCCCCTCCTAAGCGGAATTACTTGCTGATGGCTTCGGAAATTGTGAAATTTTGTGTTAATTTTTCTACACCGATGCAAGCTGCGATGTGTTTTATTCAGCAATAATCTGCGCATAAATGCAATATTTTCCTAAAAGCGATTGGACCACTTTTTGTATTGATTGTTGAATTATTATTGGTGATTCATTTTTAACCTAATACAGCCTATTCATTAGAGTGTATGCAGGCCTACTTTTTCAACGTAACTACCGAGAGTGATTGCATATTAGTATATTTCATGACTTCCGTTATTCCTAAAGTATTTCTGATTATATGTTAGTATCTGACATATATATAGAAATAGATTGAATTTTATATTCAATAGATCAAAACATCTGGCGTTTTGAAATTTATCAGAAAAGTGTGTAACTAATTTTTACGAGAAATTTTATCGTCATTTTCACTGGTAAAGTATTATATCTTTGAAGTAAAATTTACCAACCGTGCTATATATGTGTATCGTGCAGTAGTCCCTGGTGAAAGCGCCAGTGTCGAATTACAGGCTCAAAATGAAATACACACTCTGTTTCGATTCACCTTCAATTATTAATTCTTACATGCATGTACCAACGTCAGTCAACGAATGAAATGTGAAGAAAGTTTGCCGATGAGATTTGCAAATTGCATTGAATTCGCATTAAATTGTGCGAACGATCGCATTTTCACAATATATATCTGCCGAAATTCCAAGAAAATTTATGAAAACAATCCTCACGTCACACTAATTTATATAGAGAGTAATACGCTCAGAATGATTATCATAAAAAAAAAATTATGATATTTTTTAGGTAACGATTCATAGAAACGCAATTGACGGAAACGATCCATCTGGAGGTGGTTAGATTTTCATGATATCACAATGTTTTTTCATAAATTTTGTTTTATATAATGTTCCATTGGCTATGTTTAATTTTGAAAAATGCTCCGGAAATAATTTTAGCATATAAGGCTGGCACGCTACAATCATACCGGGGCACCTTTGTCGATGTTTATCGGGAGAAAAACATCGCGAGCAGAGAAAATGGCATCGAAGATATTCAAGCTTTTGTTGATTATACATATTGTGGTGCTTTGTGTCTGGTAAGTATGTTATGATATAATACATTATTCATGTTAGATGAATGAACGAATATATTATGACTTTGATAATCTATTTGAATAATATCCCACAAAAAAAACGTGCCTGAATAATCATATAACACTGAAGTCCATATCAACTTGTGAACCTAAATCTTTTCAATTATATAGCAATTTGATAAATTACCGCGGCTTTTCACAAATCTATTTGAAATTTGTGCTATATTTCTTAAATTTAATCAAAGTGATTCGAATCGTTTTATTTTCTCATTTCTGTAAAACTTGGACTAGCTTAATAAACTAATTGGTTGTTTTCATCAATTTTAAATTATTTACGTTATATTGCAGTGCTAAGAGTATCGAAAACTCCAAAGGAACGGATAAGGAGGCAGGTAAGAAAATTGCTCAAGTTGAATAAGATGTGATAATGCCCGTGTTTTCAATTTATGTATACTTAAGTAGTCTGTAATGCGAACAAACTATCGTTCATTTGTAAACCTAATTTTAGCCTGTATTTATTAATTGATATCAAATGCGAAATATATTGCGATCTGAGTTGAAGCTTTTTTTGCAAACTCGTCATTCAATTTTTTGCCTTGAATTGACGTAAATTCTTAAAATTACCGCTCTGTAATCTGCGTTGCTCGCTTCACCTGCCCGCTGTAACACACAAATACAATGAACAAAACATATTTTAAAAACTAGCTGCCATTGTTGTCGGCCTGAGTTGTAGTTAAAATCAAGAATCATAATTGAGCCTACAGTCACAAAAATTAATCTCGACTCATCAAACGAAAGTTGCGCCGAGCGTTGGTCATAGGCATGGTGAGCATCAAAACTTATTCTAGTTATATACTAAAACATAATATACTAATATATTAAAGTGCCGAATTGCTGAAACAAGTGCTCATAAAACCTGATTAGAGTGAAAAAGCCATCGGAATAATCAATTCACTCCTTACCACATTATTAGTTACAATATGTATATTCTTTTATTTCAGAAAGTCCAAAGTTGGTGTCAAACAAACTCAAAGATTCCGAAAAAATTCTATGGCCATTAATTTGGGATTCAAAAAATCCGAAGTTGGTGTCAAACAACCTCAAAGATTCCGAAAAAATTCTATGGCCATTAATTTGGGATTCAAAAAATCCGAAGTTGGTGTCAAACAACCTCAAAGATTCCGAAAAAATTCTATGGCCATTAGTTTGGGATTCAAAAAATCCGAAGTTGGTGTCAAACAACCTCAAAGATTCCGAAAAAATTCTATGGCCATTAATTTGGGATTCAAAAAATCCGAAGTTGGTGTCAAACAACCTCAAAGATTCCGAAAAAATTCTATGGCCATTAATTTGGGATTCAAAAAATCCGAAGTTAGTGTCAAACAACCTCAAAGATTCCGAAAAAATTCTATGGCCATTAATTTGGGATTCAAAAAATCCGAAGTTGGTGTCAAACAACCTCAAAGATTCCGAAAAAATTCTATGGCCATTAATTTGGGATTCAAAAAATCCGAAGTTGGTGTCAAACAACCTCAAAGATTCCGAAAAAATTCTATGGCCATTAATTTGGGATTCAAAAAATCCGAAGTTGGTGTCAAACAACCTCAAAGATTCCGAAAAAATTCTATGGCCATTAATTTGGGATTCAAAAAATCCGAAGTTGGTGTCAAACAACCTCAAAGATTCCGAAAAAATTTTATGGCCATTAATTTGGGATTCAAAAAATCCGAAGTTGGTGTCAAACAACCTCAAAGATTCCGAAAAAATTCTATGGCCATTAATTTGGGATTCAAAAAATCCGAAGTTGGTGTCAAACAACCTCAAAGATTCCGAAAAAATTCTATGGCCATTAATTTGGGATTCAAAAAATCCGAAGTTGGTGTCAAACAACCTCAAAGATTCCGAAAAAATTCTATGGCCATTATTTTGGGATTCAAAAAATCCGAAGTCGGTGTCAAACAACCTCAAAGATTCCGAAATGATTTGATATAGTTTAAATTCAAACTATTCCGAGGACCTGATGTACATGCAACTATGGATAACCCCTGATTCAGTTAACTGCTCAATTTGATCACAGACATTCAAAAAGATTTGATTCTATAATATTTTTGATCAATTATATTCGTGTATTCAGAGGCTTAAATATATATCCCAGAATAATATACAATGCATCGAATAGTGCCTCATTTTTATATAGGTGTATTCACAGAGCTGTAGAGCTCAAGATCAGAATTGAAAGCTTTTTCAGTCAATATAAGAAAAAGGGATGTGAGGAATTAGCACAGTACACGCAGAGTTTTTACCAACGATCGCCTGGCATTACGTTTTACTAGAATGCAGTTGTGGAATTTTAATGTCTTTTTAGGGTAAAAAACACAAGGATTTTCATTAAAATCGCTCTAATGACCTTTGAAGTTCACAGGATATGAACAGTAATCCTTACAGATTTTACAGGTGAATATCACCTGCAATTCGTAGTCATCTGCGTCATTTCATACCATCATGTACATTAATTTTGTGATTTTTTAACTCCCACTGATTCGTAGTAATCGTCTAACAACTAAACTAAACCAAACTTGGTGAGAGGTCCTATGCCCATTTAGGCCCTGAGCGACTGGATGTTCGTTAAGTCTATCCCTTAGAGAGGCGGCTAACGTCATAACGGAGGAGTTTGATAGCACATAGTATGGTAACTTAAATATATATTCGAGAAAATAATACAATGAACGGAATAGTTCCTCGTATTTCTTATATAGATATCGTGTTTGTCAGCCAACAAAAAACTAATTTACAGAGCTGTGGAGCTTAAGAGCAGAATTAAAAATACTTCTTTAGTCGATGTAGGAAGAAAAGTATACGAGAAATTAGCACGCTATTCACAAAATATTTACCGGCAATCGCCAGGCTTTACGTATTACTGTAGTCTGTAATGCAGTTGTTTTATTTTAATGTCATTTTATTAGGGAAAAAAACACAAGAATTTTTGTGGATTTCACAGAATATCATCAGTAATCCTTAACGGTTTTTAGTAGTGATTATCAAGGCAGTTCGCAGTAATATTTAACAACGCTAGCCTGTCAATTTAAATTCAAAATCCAGTAGAATCACCGTAAATATCCTGGCATTGAATTTTACAGGGCATAGCAGTAAAACTTACAGGCTGTGTAATTCCATGTAACAAGGTTCATTTATAATATAAATGTAAACATAAAATGAATGATAGAACTTTAAAATTGAAATATCATGTGAGAAAAATTGTCGTGCAAAAATTCGAAAACGCGATATAGACGACATTTTTCTGCTGATGTCTTTGTTGGCAAGGTCCTTTCACACAGTCACTCTAAAGAAGTCTCTTCTATAGACACTGATCTCATAAGAGTCGCGCCTAACTCGTATGTGAGTTATCAGGAAAACTCCTAATGTGATTTTTATTCTATTTTTTGTTAAATAATTTTTGCGTTAATCGCTCACATTAAATGGACTTCGTTGGGGAGACTCGAATTTTGAAAAGTCAACCTCGCTGAAATGAAACGCAAATTAGTATGTTTCGTCGATGACGTAGTACTGATTTTTGTAGTATATTCTGAGCCTACAATAACACAGCGGTTTGTTTAAGCAGCTGTATTTTCAGATACTATCGGTCGCAGTTTTACCGGCACGTTTACCGATGCAACAGACCCACGGCAAATGTAAAAGTTCCCGCACAATGTTCAATTTTGTGAAAATAAAGTCTCCGTTGTCAGTAGTTGTGCCGTTTATTTTTATTTAAAGATCACTTATGTTATGAAAAGATAATTCTTATATACTCAATCTAAGGTACCCCTTGAAAAGTTGAAAAGTACCGCTCGGGGTATGTATAGGGCAGGCCTACCGCAGTTTCGGAATCCCCTTCTAAACCATGAAACCAGCTTAACCTTAAGGATTTATGCGGAATGCGTGCTAGGCTTTTCTAGACAAAAGTATCTAACTGAACAAACCTAAAGTGAGTGACATGAGACTTGTATAAATATATTCTGCTTTTCTATATGAGTCGGATCGTTGGAGGTGAAACATGCCTTTTTATATGATCAGATATAATATTATTAGTGCAGGAATCCTGTGTGAGACTGTTAGATGCATGATTCAAACAGGGATGGAATTGCAATAACCGCTGTAGCCTAATAGACCTTATTCATTAAAAACCCATTCTACGCGCAAAAAGAAAAGTGATGTAAAAATTTTTTTTTAACATTAGCTCTTATGGGGAATGTGATCACCAGAGCAGAAATTTGCATTTAATGTAATTTTCTAGATATCTTTTATTGTATACGTGAGCAGTTTTGAGGATAGAATATATTTGTTACATCTTTTTTGATATTTTCATTAGGATAAACATGGTCAAGATTTTTATTAATCGTACATTGAAATTTTAATGAGCGTGGTGTTTCCGATGACGTCATTCTCACTAGACCATGAGATTCTGCAACGCGCCGTGCTCTGTGGGATATGCGCTCCAACTGCTTGTGATAACAGAATACTGGTATACCGGTACCGGGACCACAACTGGCATTCAACGAAAGACCTATTTTGGTTTTAAATGGATGTTATATACTTCATGAATTCCATGTAACTATGTACATTTCTGGTACATCTTTCAAAATCCAATGGCCTAGCTCAGTTCATATGTTAACACCATGTACCTATCCCAAAATTGGTGATGTTCAGGGCTGGATTTAGACCATGAGAGGCCCCTTCATATTTTTGAGCTCAGAATTTCTCTCTAAACAACACCACATTTAATTGCTTAAAATTTAAAAATATGAAAGCATTAAACTTTTCATAAAAGAAGAAAAATTTACTTGAGGCAGTTTTGCTTTCAATTTCTCTGATCAAACAACCGCTACAGCCATACTTTAACATAGAAACTTCCAGCAGAATGCGCATAATAATAATTTCCCCTACAATGTGGATAATTACCAATCCCTTACAATAATTACCTGTGCAACTGTACGACTTAACCGGAATACCGGTAGGTGCTCGCCACTGATACAGTCTAGTAATACTGTAATAATTAGTTCAGAAGATCCAATGTGCTGCAAAGACACACAAATAGGTTCGAAGTTCACGATGCAAACGAAGAGACTTTATTAAAATAGTGTAAAATCCACGCTTAAAGCAGATAATATAAGAGCGACAAAATATGGTCCTTACTCAGCGACAGCAAAAGCAAGAAGAGCGAACACTGCGTACGCAGCACAGTTCCCATATGCAGTGGTGGGCGGAGTCGAGTAACTGAATCTAACTATTGGGCGAATTAGGGCTCAGACTCCACACACCAATGCATATGCAATAACTAGACACTAAATATAAATAAAATACAAAATAATAAAAAATAGGACAATTCCAGTCCCGCCACAATACTCCCCTTTTCATTAGAGAAAATTAACAAGAAAATTTACTCTTAAAAAAAAAATAAAAACATCCCCTAAGAAAGGTATTAACACAGTAAGAATACAAAACTCGTAAAAAACACAATGTGTATGTCCATCGGCAGGTATTAGCAAAATATGAAACACAGTGGAACGAAATATCAAACAGTAGAAAGCATTCCTGAAAGTATAACAAATATAAAGCATACTATTTACAAAATACACAATAAAAATACAAAAAACTAAAAAACTACAAAATCCAATAAACCCTATCTAAAAACACTAACTAGTCCTACCTAAATATATACATTATAGCACAATTCCCAATGTAATTCAAAACAAAATGTTACAGCGCATAAATCAAGTATGAAAATCATCCAAGTAGGCAGGTCTACGCCTTGTCCTACCAGAACGAGTAACAGTCTGATGATCAGAATCCCTAACAGGCAAATCAGGATTAACTTCTGGTTCAATAACAACATCCTGTACATCATCATTGGAAATAGCAATATTGTCTGGGAAATCGGCATTAATATTAGGTAAATTGTCACAATCTTCCATCAAATATAAACGAAGATGATCAACATGAGCTATTCTACAATTACCAGTGTTAACATTCTTGATACGATAAACAAAATGTGAAAAACAATCTAACACTTCAAAAGGACCTATCCAACCAGTCGAAAGTTTTCTACTCTTAGGAGGATAAAAATACCACACAAGATCACCAACATTAAAGGATAAAGGCTTAACAGTTGCATTAAAATTACGTTTCTGTCGAACAGCAGATTTACCCAACTGTTCTCGAGCAAATTCAAAAGCTTCAGATGTAGCATTATCAAACCATTCAACAAATTCATCATAACACTTAGGGACATTATGATCAGGAGGTTTACCAAAAAGTAAATCAGTCGGCAATGAAATTTCACGTCCCAACATTAAACGATTCGGAGTAAAACCTGTACTTTCATGTACAGTAGATCTATAAGCCATTAAAAGATAAGGAATGTGTTCATCCCAGTCTGTGCGGCTAGAATCTACAAATGCTTTAAGCATTTGCTGCAAGGTCTTATTCATTCTTTCACATAGACCATCCGACCTAGGATGATAAGGAGTCGTACGGGTTTTATCAATTTCAAATAAGGAAACACATATGCTTAAACAAATGAGATTCAAAATTAACCCCTTGGTCACAATGAATAATTCTAGGAGTACCAAATCTACTAAAAAATTCCGTTACAAGTACATCGGCTGTAGTACTGGCCTTTTGATTAGGCAAAGGATAAGCCTCAACCCATTTAGTAAAATAGTCTGTGACTACTAAAGATGTTCATTGCCCCGTTCAGTTTTAGGTAAGGACCCACAAAATCAAGACTAATTCTGAGAAAGTGGCTCAGTACAAATCATTTTACACATTTCTGCACGTCGTTTCCCATGAGGGGTTTTGGTAGCAGTGCAGCTTTACAATAACGACACCAAGAAGATACTTGGCTGTGCATTCTAGCCAATAAAATCGTTCCCTCAATTTTTTATAAGTTCGTTCTTTACCCAAATGTCCACCAGTACGGCAACTCATGGAGTTGTCGGTACATTTCGCGACGCAAAACTAAAAGGCAACACAATTTGAAAAATGGATTTGCCTACAGGCGCGGATGGCAAAAACTCTCGATGAAGCACTCCATCGATGACTCTCATAATTTCCACTGGCTGCACAGGATCCGAACTTCTCTGGAGAAAACAAGAGTTCTGCAGCTGGGGGTGGTTGTTCCAACGTTTCCTTCATTGTCAGTACTTTAGAGATGTTATCGTCCTTCATCTGCATCTCACGCACATCGGTCGATGAATACGAAGCGAGCCATTCCATAGAATTACCATGACTCGGTTGCAAAGCAGAACTTTGACAATTTCCAATTCACACGGCTGATCACCATTCCCACAACTAGTGCAGGATCACGCTTACATCGGCGACGAATACGACTCAAACCATCAGCATTGCCATGCTTGGAACCAGCACGATGTTCAACTGTAAAATCGTAAGTGTCCATAACTGATATCCAACGAGCTACAATGCCTTCAGGATCTTTAAAATTCAGAAGCCAACGTAGTGAAGCATGGTCAGTTCTCAGTTTGAATGTCGACCCCACAGGAAGTGACGAAAATGTTTGACCCCCCACTGCAACGCAAAAAGTTCTCCGATACGTTGCACAATATCTCTTCTGTGCCTTGTTAAGGGTAACGCTGGCATATGCAATGACTTTTTCCTTGCCATTTCTGAATTTGACTCAAAAACTGCGCCAGCTTCCAAAACCCAGAACAATCAGTATCTAAAATGAATTCGTCTCCATCTTCCTGTGGAAATGATAAAACAGGAGCACGAACTAAAAGTTCTTTCAAGCGAAGAAAAGCGACATCACACTGCTTTGTCCAAGCAAATTCCACTTTCTTCTTTGTCAGATGAACAAGAGGATGTGCAATGGTAGAGAATCTTCAACAAATTGTCTGTAATAATTACAAAATCCAAGAATGACTGCAATTCTTTGACATTAGCAGGCTTGGGCCAATCACGAACAGCAGCAATTTTTCTATCGCTACAGCTTACACCATATTCAGATATTACATGTCCCAAATATTCCACTTTACGACGAAAAAGTTTACACTTCTCCGGCTTGAATTTAAGTCCAGCAGCACGAATTCTTACAAAAACTTCACGTAAGCTGCTCATAGCCAGATCAAAGTTTTCGCCATAAGCCAAAATATCATCTAAAAATGCGAGACATATTTTCCATAAAATTCCAGCCAAAACTTTGTCTATTAAACGCTGGAAGCAAGATGGCGCATTGGCCAGACCGAAGGCAAGAACACGAATTGAAAATGATTATTTCCTGGCAAGCTGAATGCTGTTTTTTCCCGATCTTCTGGGTCGAGTTCTACTTGCCAGTACCCACTCGCCAAGTCCAACGATGAAAACCACTTTGCGTTACCCAATGCATCCAAAATATCATCAATTCTTGGCAAACTGTAGGCATCTTTGATGGTTACCAGATTAATTTTCCGGAAATCGATACAAAAACGACAACTTCCGTCTTTCTTAGGGAACGAGAACAATAGGCGAATTATAGGGACTTTCACTCGGTTCTATTACACCTTGAGCAAGCATGCTCTGTACTTGTTTCTCTGCGATTCTCTTTTCGCCCATCCCATACGTCGCGGTGGAACTTTGATTGGTTCAGATGTTGACGTTTTAATCTTATGTTTGACTACAGAAAGTTCGTCCCAGTTTGCCATCAGGACCAGCAAAAATATCCTGAAATTCGATGAGCAAATCATGAACACTTTGACGTTGTTCAAACCGTTAAATCTTCTGGATCGTCGACGAGCTTCTTCAAATGTTCAGGTAGTTCCCTGGTGTCCATGACATCACCAGGCACCACTTGTTTCCAGAGAAGAGACAGTCAGGTTTCTCTTGGGCATAGTAAACCGATGAGCAAATCCGCAGGTATTTCTTACCGCTTCCTTGCTAACATTGACCACCATGAGAGGCACTAAAGAGCATGAGGCGTCCACCACTCCGGGAAATAAAAATAAACCACGATGGCCATACTCGCTCTCAAACACACACGCAGCCTCTGCCACAGCTATGACGTCACTATTGGGTTTCCATGGGCAATTCAAACGACCATAAATCACCATCTCACTCTCTCTGGGAACAGTCACACATTTATCTACAACAATTCTACAACTAGGAACAGACGAAACAAGCTTAGTCAGGGAAACAGTTTTACCATCAACCTCCATTTGACCTACAGACATATGCAAAACACAGTCATGCTTTTGGAAATAATCCATACCAAGCAAACCATAGGGGGCACCAAGATCAGCAACAATCACTCTCTGAACAGCACACACAAAATCAATACAAATTTTCAAATCAATCATACCACGAGCTTTCAGAGAAGTACCATTAGCAGTTTGAAAACAAACATCACAAGGAGACAAATCACACTCCTTTCCACCAATAGAACAAAAAACTGCATAATCTATAAGCGTAGCAGCACTACCAGAATCAATAAGAAAACGTACAGTAATGCCATTCACATCAACCATAGCATACCAGCTAGTGGGTAATCTCAAAGAACAAATCAAATTATCAAAATCATGGTCCATGCATACATTCGTCATCTTTCCAGTAGCAACTGAGGACCCCCGTGCTACTGATTTCTGTTTAAAGGCATATCATTATTCTTGGGAGCAGGGTGAAACTGGGGAATATTCCCACCGTCACGAGGAGTTTGGCCATTCCCACCCCAGGCAGAATTTGAGCTATTCCCTGGTGAAAAATTTCCTACAGGGCCACTGACCGTTTGCTGGGCCGAATAAGCAGAAGGCTGCGAATTCTGTGGAACATAATATCTATCACACTGAGAAGCTATATGACCCCTGCCATTACATATCTGGCACAGGTTCTCTGGACAATTTCTACGTATGTGACCCTTGGCACCACAACCATAGCAAGTAATACCTTCATTCCTATGCCCACCCTTCTGACGGGAAAATCGGGGTTGATGACCTTTGTCAATCATAGCACGAAAACTGTCAAGCATCTCTTTAATATCATTCCGCAGCTTACTAAATTCAGATACACACACACCATCATCACGTTCAGAATTATTCACAACAGCTACCATGGGCTTACTAGCACGATTACAACCAGGTGCACTGTGCGTAGCATCAATAGAATGACAAACATCAGCCACAGTAATTAATTCATCCAAACTCTGAGTCTGCCTGATAGTCAAAGTCTTACACATCTCGAAATCAGGAAAACCTGAAATGAAACGCTGCTTAATCAGATTCTCACGAGCAATAACATCCAAAGAAGGATAAGCCTTCCTCGACAATGCACGAAGAGAAGTAGCATATTCCGTTGGCGTCTCAGTGGCCAACTTCTTCCTGTTATTAAACAAAGTAGCAAAGTATGACTCCTTACCCTCTGGATAATAACGCTTTTTCAAGTGATTCACTGCAACACTCAAGCTGTGTCTATCAGGAAGGGATAATTCATTCAACAAGGACAAAGCCTTCCCACGCATACGTGCAGCAAAATGAACACCAGCAATTTTATCAGTCCATCCATTACAGGTAGTAATGGATGAAAAATGACACAAATAATCATCCAAAGACATACCATCACCATTAAAAGTATCAGGCTGGATATCCACTCTCATACTATTATTCATACCAAAAGGAACTGCCTTGCAATCAGTAACGCTACCATTCACACTTGCATGCATAGGTGTAGACTGGTCAACCACACACTCATCAGCAAAATTCAATTTTTTAATAGTACCGGTACCATTCATCAAACATTCATTATCAGGGCAGTCTGGTTCACCATTCCTATCAACACTCTTAGGCACCTCAGGGGTTTTTAAAATAGGTTTAGGAATAAATGATGGCACCTCACTCTCAGCCATGACCTCGTCAATGCTCTCCAGACGGCATACAACCCGTTCGAGTACCGGTACTTCCTTCATGCCAAAATCTCTTTCTTCAAGTTGTATAACACTGGTCTTGACTACTTTCAGTTGAGACAAAGCATCTTGCAGTTGTCTAGCCAGTTCTTTATTTTCAGCTTCCAGTGATTTATTTGCCACGAGTATGTCTTTATTCATGTTTTTAATTTCCTTGTTTTCGCCTAGTATGTCTTTATTCATGTTTTTAATTTCTTTGTTTTCGGTTTCCATCTGGGAAATTTTATTCCATATTACATCTCGTTCCTGGTCGCAATTCTTTCTTCGGTGTGACATCATGAACTTTTAATCAAAAAATCGTCTGATTTTTCAATTCTGGCGCTAGCTCGTCAATTTGCAACGGTACGACTTAACCGGAATACCGGTAGGTGCTCGCCACTGATACAGTCTAGTAATACTGTAATAATTAGTTCAGAAGATCCAATGTGCTGCAAAGACACACAAATAGGTTCGAAGTTCACGATGCAAACGAAGAGACTTTATTAAAATAGTGTAAAATCCACGCTTAAAGCAGATAATATAAGAGCGACAAAATATGGTCCTTACTCAGCGACAGCAAAAGCAAGAAGAGCGAACACTGCGTACGCAGCACAGTTCCCATATGCAGTGGTGGGCGGAGTCGAGTAACTGAATCTAACTATTGGGCGAATTAGGGCTCAGACTCCACACACCAATGCATATGCAATAACTAGACACTAAATATAAATAAAATACAAAATAATAAAAAATAGGACAATTCCAGTCCCGCCACACCTGTTTACAATGTGGTTGAAACCAGTTAGGTACAGAATTTTCTACTCTGAAAAGCTTGATATAAATATATACTTTTTGTAGGGTTTAAACTTGTCAAGTTTTCAAAAGAATTACAAACTTCGAAACCAAATTTCGAGTCTCTAGGTTTCAGCCTGCCTAGCCTATTGGTAAATCCAGCCCTGGAGATGGTCCCTACAGCAAATTTCTGGCCCTAATCACTCAGCAGATTGAAATAAATGGTTTTCAGCATTTATTAGCACAGATAGATATTTTATTTAAACATATAGTTCAACTTAAAGCCTGTATATTGATATTATAAATATATCTATATATGTCCCACTATTACTGCATTGTGAGAAGGCTTTCCACACCATCAAGTCTAGACTATAAGGTTTTAGCGTCTTCCAATGTCCCAGACGGAAACTTCAGTCTTCAATTCGCATATTCTTTTCATAAATGCCATTAGCATTTGAAGCTTGACTGATTCCAATGTACCCTTCCCATTGTTGTTTAATGTAATATCCTAAATGTGATTTCAAATTTTTTTCTCACTTCAATCATCACATGCAGACATGTTTGAATATCCGAGCTGACTTCTACTGATTTGTTATTAGTTTACAATTTTTTTTATAAATTAACTGTCGTACTTGCTAAGTATCCATGGGATTCGAACCTGCGAACCCATGCAGAGTAATTAGAGGTGCGGTGGCGAGCGTATTCCTAACGCTTAGCCCGTTGAGCTACACCGCCGCGCCTGTGGTCTAGCTAGACTAGAGGCACGGTAAACCGTACTTCACTGCTTCGCTTGTTGTGAATATATTTGTAGACTGCGGTCTAAAGGTACGGTAAACCGTACCGGTACTGTACTGCTCCGCTTGGTGTGAATATATTTGTAGACTGTGGTATCTGCTGTTATAATACCGTGATAAATCGAATAAGTTGATTTTGCAAAGAAGAAGCGTCTGGCATTACAGGTAGGAGGGGGAATAGGAGGGTGCGCATTTCCAATACGTCGATAATATCTTTGTCAACCAATTTGCGAACACCGTGTTTTTGTCTGTTTGATTGCTGTGATGTGATGCTAACCAATTTGCGACCACCGTGTTTTTGTCTGTTTGATTGCTGTGATGGGGTGCTTTGTTTATATTTTGACGAGTTTTGTTCGAAATAACCGTGTTCTTAAAATATATGACCGTCAGAAATGCAATTAGAAGCCCAGAAAATTCATACAAATATAAGAGATAAAAATACGAAACTTGGCAGGTGGGTAGAATTGTGTTTCTTTTAACCATCTTTGAAAGTTTCGCGTTTTTACATTTAAAGGAGGGAAAATAGGGGGGTGCGCATTTTCAATACGTCGATAATATCTTCGTCAACCAATTTGTGGCCAACAACGTGTTTTTGTCTGTTTGATTGCTGTGATGTGGTGCTTTGTTTATACAGGTACTGGTAAGTCACCGCATATGATTTTTGGGGAATAGTCTGCGTGTCAATATATTTGAGCTTTGCTTTCTTGTTGTTCTTGTTCTTTGACACTTTTGAACACCTAGTGGAAAATCTAAATAGTCGCATTTCTCTTTGATTACTTGACCAATTGCTTTGACATTTTTAGTGTTTAAAGATGAAATTTTTCTCCAGAAGGCTATTATTTTTATTTATTTCAAATTATATCTGTTGGCTCTGTGAGATTTGTTTTTGTTTGCTATGACGTCACCAAACGTTCTGCGGACGCTTTTGTTCTTCTGATCACGGGCCATGGAACGTCGGTGGTTCGTATTGAATTCCTTGCTTTGCTAAGATTTGAGGAACGGTGAATGGCGAATAGTGCCGTACTTGGTGTTATATTACAGTAGTGACTCGGATCGGTGGTGTTACTACAGTTGTGATTCGGACCATCTTGCAATTTCAATTCACGCTGTCACAAGATAGGAACTTCTAAAGAAAGGGCAGTTACGGTACCGTAACACAGCGCGGTGACACTGAACTAACTCGTAGCTGTCTGGTAAAAGCGGGGCTTGTTGGACACGTTAGTGGACATAACGATCGTTTTGGTATTTTTGTTGTTCTTGTTCTTATTTGTCTTCTTCTTGGTATCGTTATGAAAAAATCGCTTTTCTCGTTGATTACTGGACCAATTGCTTTGAAATTTTCAGTGAGTAAAGATTATATTTTTCCCCAGAAGGCTATTACTTTTATTTATTCTTAAATTTTATATGAATCCTATGAGATATGATATTTCATACAAAATTTCGCGGTATTTATTTTTACTCATGGGAACACTGTTTTACACTTATTTCAAGCGGTTTCGCGATCGATTGTCTTGCTCAGTACTACAGCTACTGTAGGTCGGTACTGGTAAGTTGCCATACCGGTACCGTAACGCAGTGAAATTGACTTATTCCTTCCGCGGTATTACTAATGCTGCAATGCAAGTTTTATAGCCTATCGTATGCGGAACGGAATATCAGACCTACAGGTTCGGTACCGGTACTGGTAGCTCAGTACGTAAGTACGATACTGGTACTGGTGCCGGTACCGGTGTCTTACCACAATGAAATTACCGTAACTTATTCTTTCACGGTCCTACCAGTGCAGTAATGCAAGCGTTTTAGCACTTGTAGCCTACTATATTTGTTTATTTTGATGAGAGTCTACTGGAAACAACATAAAATTTGAAAGGGAAGAATTGTTCTGTGATCAATTATCTGTCCTAAAGTGCAAACAACATAAAATTTGCAAGGGAACAACTGTTCTGTGATCAATTACCGTATATGGCCTACAGTGTACAGGTAAGATCCTGGCTGACTGCTAACTCAGTACCGCACCTACGTTAGGTACCGGTACCGCCGTGAATTCAGCTCTCATCTCTTTGTTGGACACGTAGTGGACATAACGATCGTTTCAATATTATGTTGTTGTTGTTGTTCTTGTTCTTTGACACGTTTTTAAAAAGTCGCTTTTCTCTTCGAATACTGGACCAATTGCTTTGAAATTTTCAGTGGTTAAAGATAAAAATTTTCTCCAGAAGGCTATTACTTTTTTTTTCGCTATGACGTCATCAAAATTATGTGACTCTACGTGTCCATATATTTGAGCATAGCTCTCTTGTTTTCCAATACGTCGATAATATCTTTGTCAACCAATTTGCGAACACCGTGTTTTTGTCTGTTTGATTGCTGTGATGGGGTGCTTTGTTTATATTTTGACGAGTTTTGTTCGAAATAACCGTGTTCTCAAAATATATGACGGTCAGAAATGCAATTAGAAGCCCAGAAAATTCATACAAATATAAGAGATAAAAAGATGAAACTTGGCATGTGGGTAGAGTTGTGTTTATTTTACCCATCTTTGAAAGTTTCGCGTTTTTACATTTAAAGGAGGGAAAATAGGGGGGTGCGCATTTCCAATACGTCGATAACAGTGGCGGCGCGTCAATAGGGCCAACCGGGGCAATGCCCCGGTTGTTTTTTCGGTATAATAAAAAATATTCGAAAAATACCTCAATATCGGTTGCACAGACTGTCTACACTAGCCATATTCTCCCGACACGGTTCATTTTTCGCTCGCAAAGCCTTCGCCGAACGTCGACGGGGCGACGCCGATTTTGCCCCGGTTGCTCATTGTATATCGTATTCTCTCTTTTATCTTCCACTCGCCGCGTTTGTCTCGTTTGTTTTCTGTTTCTTTTACTAAATCATCGGGGCCGATCGGGGCTAGCCCCGAAATTATGACGACACAATGCCGACGTTTCTTACAACAACGTGTTGACATATTCACGCATTCCTTCTCGTTCGTTGGTTGCTTGAAGAGTTGATAGTTTCCTCGCCTTCTCTTTTGTCGCTTGTTTCGCTATTTGAATCAGTTAGAGACCTTTAGTCCATTTGCTTTCGATTTTCCACATTCCTTTTGAGCTCCTCACTTCTTTCCGGCTTCGCATTTCTTAGCCTTAGACCTCATAATGAATAAGGTTGATGCACTACTTCGCACTCCGTTTTCGCAGCTGCCGCTGGAACAAAAATTAGAGGTACAACGTCTTGGGCCTTATCAACCAAAAAATTGTTCACTGGAACAATCCCATGACGGAGGAGAGCGTCGGCGTACATTCTGCGCAGAAACTTGGTATAAAAAACACGAATGGTTGTGTTACAGCGAGGACAAAAATGCACTTTTTTGTTTTTATTGCCTACTTTTTGCTACCGCCCGTGACTCACGTTGGTGTAAATTTGGTTTTAGAGATCTTAAACATCTTTCCGAGCGTGACAGGGATCATCAATCTTCTATGGAGCATCTGGACAATGCAGTAAAATACCGAACATTCGGAAATGTTAATATTGCAGCACAGTTGGATGAAGGACGCGCGGTTTCTATTCGTCGGCACAACCAAAACGTCGAGAAAAACCGCCATGTTCTCGGTCGATTGATAGATGTTTTGAAGTTCATTGGTTGTCACGAGCTGTCTCTCCGTGGGCACGATGAACGAGCTGGCTCTTCTAATAGAGGGGTATTTTTGGATATGGTGGAATACACCGCATCCCTAGATACAGTATTGAGAGATCATCTTGATGCCGCAACTGTTTCGAAAGGGACATCTAAGGATATCCAAAATGATTTGCTCGACTCAATGTATAAAATTTATTTACAACATTTGGCTCTGGAAATTGAGAATTGCCAGTTCCTTTCGATTCAGTCTGACGAGACAACTGACATCACATGCGTTTCCCAACTGGCTGTGATTTTTCGGTTTGTGAAAGATGGTAAACCTACCGAGAAATTTCACAGCTTTGTACCAATCGTTGATCGCACGGCTTGCGGGATATCTGAAAGAAGTGTTACAGCCTTACAACGCGAAGTCAAAATTAGCTCAAACTTATGACGGCGCGGCAGTCATGAGTGGGTCGAAACATTGTGTTCAAGTTTATATAAAAGAAGATTTTCCTCATGCGCATTTTTTACATTGTTATGCACACCAATTTAACCTCGTTATTAAAAACATG